TTTGTTCGAGACTCCTGCATGAGATTTCTAAAAGATCCCACGTTCTATTTCAAGGACTGTGTTGAGATCAGTGCTCTCCGCAGATAGGTGAAAAGTTTCGAAGCCCCAGGAGGTAGAGAGTCAACCCTGGCTTAGATTTTATTCCACGAGCTTTGTAAGTTTGATCCAGCAAAAAAAGCAAGGGTTGATTTGCAATTCGGCATGTAATAACGAAGCATACAGAAGGCACATTTACTAGTGAGTACTCTTGCCAACTAAGAGGCGGAGTTTATCACTATTCTAAAATTTTGTCATCCATGAAGGTTGTGATGTCCTTTATTCAAGTAGATACCTCCTTTTTTTGCCTGTAGACATTCCTTGCATTCGTATTCTTGGCAAAAGGAAAAACTAGACTAGAGAAAAACTAGAAAAACAGCAAAGTGCGAAAAGGGAGGTGATTGCTGTCCTATTGATAAATGTTATTACTGCACGAGGCGACAATGGGAGCCGTGAATGCAGCTCTTGTGCGGTAATAAGCTTCACAAGGTTTGGCTTCACTCGGCCATTACTCTGCACCCAGTTCGGATGCACTCGATGGAGAAGATTTCGAAAATATAATAGTAATAAATATTTACAAGTACACGTTATAAAAACGTAGAAATCTGCGCTGTATAACGGCTTCTTCCGCTTCTTTCTATGGAGCCCAGGCCGCTTGCAGTTGATTGAAGTGATCATCAATACGATGATCGTTTTCTTTGGATATTGCAGAGGGTTGTTCGACGTTGATTTTCAGGATGCCACAACACGATGCGAATCGGGTTCTCAGCACTTGTCGAAGACCTCCAATAGTCCACAGCAACCACCAGGCCAATATTGCGAGGGAACTGAAAATTCACGATCAAGAATCGGTAGTCTTCCTGAGAAGAGACTTTTCAATGTTCGAACAACAGCTCCCAACCAGCACTGAGAAATGTTCAGCCCCACATTCCAGCGAATCATCTAGGGGAGAGGAGAGAGGGTCTTTTGAAGAAGGCTGTCGTATGCACGAAGGAAGCCAAAGAGTCATACAGGATAGTGATTTTAACCGCGCCTAGATTCGTACACTCACTAGCGTATACTCCGGTCGACAGGGCGACCATAATCCGAGAGATATTTAATGATTTTACGCCTCAGGCAGTTACGGAGCGTTCAGACTGACTCATTGTGGTCCCTCGTTCTAGTAGAATATGACCTTTTGTATGTTCATTCTCTTCAGTTCGTAACCTCCTGAGGCGTAAAATCACTGAATAGTTAAGGTTACTTTTGACAACCCCCTACTTACGAATGTTTTATGCTTATAAGGTGAGGTGATTCAGGTAGAAAAGTACAAAATGTCGATGAAACGAGAGGTTAGAGTGTTAGTGAAGTGGAGGGAGGGACAAGGCTCAAGAAACGGTTGACTATACAGACAGAGAACCAATAAAAAAGGAACTTACAGGGCGATATAGTTGTTGAACAACGCATAGAATAACTGTCCAAGTGGATCCGTCGAATCGAAAATTATAAATGCTGATCCAAAAAGTCCAGATGAAAAAAATCCCCACACTGAATACCCCACAGAGAGGAACATCAATAGCTAAACAAGTAACTGGTTTTTATTGGTCCCATACTAATATCTTCAAACGAACCCTGGTCACTCGAACATTTTCCTCAAGTTGGAATTTGAGGCTTAGCGTGTAGGTGACCGTTGATACACCCGTTTTGTTCGTAAGATCGCTTAGGATGGCCACGTCTTTACGATGGACCATAATGATAGCCACAGAGGATAGTGTCATAATAAGTAT